CATCTCGGAGGAAGGAAGGCAAAGGGCGGCGGACGGGCTCTCGGCGCGTGAGGGAGGCGGTGGCAGCGGCGGCAGCAAAGGGGGAAAGCCACGCCCCCGCGGCACGGGGGCCCCGTGGCCCGACGACCATCCAGGCGACGGCGGCGGTGGGACACGAGCCGGCACGAGAGGGGACGGATGCGGGGGGGACCGGGGGCCGGCACGGCAATGCGGGGCGGTGCGCGGGAAACCCTCCCCGGGGAAGACACATGCGTCTGGCCGAAGGCAAGAACACGGAGTCCCGCGGGACCGTCCACCTCGGCATGCGAGTCCGCGGGACACGGGAGCCCGCAAAACACTCGCTCGCGGCCGCCCTGACCCGACTCGAGCGCCCGGTGCGAAAACGTCATCCCCCAGTTCGGGCACCGCGGAACACAGTGCAGGGCGGGACAGACAAGACCCGGCCCCGGGCTCATCTCTGCGCAGATACCAACCCCCCCCCGGGATGACCAATCGCTCACTCGCTCGCTCTAAAAGCCAGACGGGACCGCGAAGCTACGACCGCCAGAGTCTGAACTTAGGGGGACAGAGGGCCCCCGAAAGGGGACCTTGCGAAGGGACACCCCAGCCGCGCCACCCCGCGGGGCAAGGCAACTCCCGGGGGGCGATTGATCGTCAAGCTACACTCAGACAGGCGTAGGCCCGGGAGGAACCCGGGGCCGCAAGTGCGTTCGAAGTGTCGATGATCAATGTGTCCTGCAATTCACATTAATTCTCGCAGCTAGCTGCATTCTTCATCGACGCACAAGCCGAGTGATCCACCACTAAGAGTCGAACCAATCGGGTCGTGGCCCGACGCAGGGCATACGCGGCTGGCACGGTGCTGTTTTCCCGGTCCCGCACCCCCAAACCCGAGAGGGGAGAGGAGGGCATGGGCGGGTCACCTCGGTCCGGCCAGCAGAGACAGAACGAGAACGAGACACGGAGGGGGTCAGACAGATGAGACACGGGGACGGGGACACCCGGCACCATGGCCACGCCAGCACGGGGGGTGCGGCGGGCGGGTGCTCAGACGCCCCCGGCCCCACAGGCGCCCCGGGGGTGCCCACTCCCGAAGCCCGGGCTGCGGGAGAAGCTGCCCCCACGCCAGCGAGCGTAGGCTGCCCCGACCTGGGATGGGGGCGGATTTTGGGAGAGACCGGGGACCTGCCTCCCCACGGGCCTGCCGCCCCGACCCCTTGGACGGACGGGCGACCCCCGATGGGTCTTTAATCCTCCGCACCAGAACGCGATAGCAGGTACCTGGACACGAGAGTGCGGATGAGCGAGGTGGGGGGGGCAGCGACGCCTGGGAGGCGGCCGCCCTACACCCTCCCCACCCCCGAGCTGCACCACCGCTGGCCCCACCCGCCGCCACTCCCCCCAACCACACGGGGGAAGGGGGTGAACGGAGCCGTGGGACGCGGCAAGCCCGATAGCGGGGGCCACCCCGCCGGAGGCGGGGTAAGGGGCCACTGCGGGGAGCCGGTCCCAGACCGGGCCACCGAGGCCGCGGGGGGCGAGGGCGGGCGGAGGGGAAGGCGAAGGCGGACCGAGAGGGGGAGGACGGCGGCTACACACTGGCGAGGGCGAGCCCCCCCCGAACGATGTGCTAGGCGCCCAGTTTAGGAAAGCCAGTGGAGAAGGGGACCGCCACGAGGTCGCGCAGGCAAGGCGAGGCAGGGGCCCGAGGCGTGGCGCCCCGCGGTGGCGCAGGACGGGAGAGGAGCGCGGGGATGTGGGAAGCGAGCACAGAGACGGAGGCGGGCCGACAGGGAAAAGGGGACGTGTCGGCAGCCCCCAGCAGCTGGGGAATGCGATGCGCCACGCGGGCCCGGACGCGGGAGGGGTTGGCGGAGCAGGGGCAGAGGGAAGCTGGTGATCTGGACAAGGACGTCCGCGGAGGCAGCGGGGGGGGGGGGGGGGCGACACCGGGGGGGGGGGGGCGACACCGCGGCGGGGAGGGCCCGCGGGCTCGCTCAGCAGCAGCGGGACGGAGGGCATGTGCCCATCCGCTCCTGGCCGCCCGGGCCCGGAACCCGGTCCCACCGTGGCTACCCGCAGCCGGCGGGCGACACAACCCACCCGCAACATGCCTTAACCCGGGCACCGGCTCGCCCACCCGCGGCACGGGCGCCGCGGGGACGGCACCGCAGACAGGCACACCCACCAGGCCGACGCTGGCCATGCCATCCCAGCCTGCATCTCTACCGCTCTTCCTCCTCTCTCGTGCCCCCTCTCCAGCTCACCCGTCCGCAGCCGCGGGAAACAGCGGGATGGGGGGAAGGTCCTCACCGGCACAGCTGCCCCGGGAATGGACGGGCCCCTCCTCCCAGGCCGACCCTGACGTGCGAGAGCGAACACACGGGGACAGACAGACAGCCATGACGACGCGGGAAAGACGACGAGGAGGAGGAGCTCCGAGGGACCGCGGCGCCGGCAACCCCGGCAGATCGCGGAAGGCCACCCTCGTGCTGAGCTC